AGAGAACGGAGAGGAACGGACAGGATAGAGAGAGACGAGAGAAGGAGAGATTGGAGAGATGAAAGTCCGGGATGATGACGGAGAGAGAGGAAGCGTGTGTGATGAGAGAGAGGCAAGCAGAGAGAAGAGAGCAGAGAAACGAGAGAGAGAGAGATACGACGAGAAGACTGAAGAGACTGAGAGAGAATCAGAGGAGACGAGAGAGACGAGAGAGAGAGAGAGAAGAGCGACATAGAGCGAGTAGATAGAGAAAGAGGGGGGGCGCGCCAGAGAGAGAAAGAGAGAGAGAGAGAGTATTGTTTAGAGAGAGATGGATAGAGAGGGGGGGGAGGGGATGGAGGGAGAGAGATAATACGGACGGACAGCTAGACAGGCCATTAATTATAATCATCTCTCGCTACCAGGTTGAAGGCAGCAGAGAAACGTACTCTCGTGCTTCTACTATCAATCTCCATCTTTTACCAGTGCTTACTCTGTGTCTACTGCTGCTACTGCTGCCTACTGCTGCTGCTGCTATCTACAACTTACTACTACTACTACTACTTACTTATGTCTTCTACTTTTATGCTACTACTACTACTACTGCTGCTGCTGCTGTCCCTGCCTGCTACTACTTGCCTTGCTACACGCTTGGGTAACGACAACTTGCACGTCTGTTAGCTGTCCATGGCACGCGCGTCGCATTCAATTGCTTCTGGGTTTGCACGGGCGTCTTTGTGTTGGCAGTAAGCACCGCACCCGTCCTGCTCGTTCGCTGCGTCGGATTCACGTTCGCGCATCTCTGACCGCATCTCCGACGGTCTATCTCTCTCAGGAAAACGCGTATATTGATAAGCGTGGGGGGAAGGGGTCTCCGCCGAACAGGTGGCCGCGCGCCTCCTCGCTGTTTCGCGTTGTTTTTTTTGATTTTTTTTTTGCGCGATGCGATGGCGAGTTCTTTTTTTACACGCATTTTTTTACATACGTTTTTTTATAACGTAATGTGTAAATATATATATAATATATATATATATATAGTATATATATATATATATATATATATATATATCTTTAGTGTCTACGTGATAGTGCCGAGACGCTGACGAGTTAAGCAAAATGCGTTTGTTTTTCCCGCCTTTTCTAGGATGTCGGCCCGGTCGCCGTTCGAGCAAATCGGTGATCTGTGACGTCACACCAAGGTCGGCATGACGTCAAAGACGCTGTCGCGTCGCTGCGCCGAGCCAGGCGTCGGTTTTCGCGTCGCCGCATTGATAGGCAAAGATGCGAGTGCCACCGACCCAAAGATGGTGGTCGCCAAGGACTCCAATATGGCGATCATCAGCGTCGACCCCAAGATAGCGGCCACCAAAGAACGCAAGATGGCGGCGACCGACAAGTCGTTGGCGAGACGCTCGCGAACGACGTCTAGAAACGCGCATGCGCAGACGCTCCCGCTCACGACCGCCGTCGGCCACCGAGAGATCAAAGTGGAACCGCCCAGCAGCTCCGCCAAGGAAGACAAATCAACATGGCCACCACAACCGCGGCGATTCTGGTGCGTTGCCGACGACCGGAAGCCGAGCGACGACAGCGCCGGAACAGCGGCAGGAACGTCGCCAACGACGTCGGACGGCGACGGATTCCATGCGTCGGCGACGACGGATCAACAGACGTCGCCGCGGCGAAACAAACGCAAGTCGTCCGACCCGCGTAAGCTGCCAGTAAAACGAGTCCGCGACGCCGCCGCCGCCGCCGGCGACGACGACGACGACGATGATGACGATGCCGACGACGACGCGAAGATGACGTCGTCGTCCGTCGGCGGTCGGCCGTACCACGCGTCGCAATGTCGACTGCATTCGTCAAGTCACAGCGAGACCGACAGTGACTACGGCGGCCGCAGCAGCAGCGGCCGCAGCTGCGAAGGGAGCGTGGGCGTGCCGCCGCCAGAAGTAATCCGAATACCGACGGTGCCGAAATCGAGGCTGCTGATGCAGCAAGACGACGTCGGTACGAACTGCGTCGTCGTCGGACTACACACGTCGGCAAATTCCAGTCGCGCGCCGACGACGACGACGACGACGACGACGGCGACGTTGCTGCCGACGTCCGTTAGACTTCCAGAGCCGACAGCCGACAAGAAACGGGGGAAGCACGTCGCCACGTACGCCTCCAGCCGACGGCGGGCTCCGAGCGACGACGACGACGACGACGATGACAACCCTGCCGACGACCACTTCCTTCACGCTAGCGACGACGACGACGACGACGACGACGATGACGACGACGACGACGACGACGACGACGACGAAACGGAGAACCGTCGGCAACATCGACGCCATCACCATCAGCAACAGCGGCCGAAGCAGCGGAACTATAAGAACATGAGTAGAGACAGACGCGTGGAAGCTAACGCGCGCGAACGCTCCCGCGTGCATACGATATCGGCTGCCTTCGAGTCGCTCCGGCGCGCAGTTCCCTCTTTCTCCTACAACCAAAAACTATCGAAGCTCGCCATCCTGCGTATAGCTGCCTGCTACATCATGGCGCTCTCCAAGCTTTCTGACCTCGAGAGGAGGTGGGTGGTCCGCGGCAGGCAGGAGAGGGAGGAGGAGGACAGGAGCGAGGTGTAGCGAGGAGGAGGGGAGGGGGAGGAGGCAGGGAGGAGGGGGAGGTGAAGAGGAGCTGTCTTTCGGAGATTGCGTCGACATGTGCACGAAGACGATACAGATGGAGGGGAAGCCGCGACGCAGGAAGGTAATATATATATATAATATATATATATATGTATATATGTATATAGTGATATATATGGTACTATATATGTATAACTGATTACTACTGGCTATATAAGGAACATGGGAACATTATGGTTATAGATGCGCTGCCCTGCAGACCACATACCACGAATCGCACTCAAACAACACACCACGCACGCCACAGCACACACACACACGCGCGCTCGCGCACGCACGACGCCACGCACGCACACACACAACACACCACAACACACACACACACACACATACATAGAGTTCAAGTCACGCTAGACACAGACGACAGCGAGGGACGCCAGCAGGAATGCTGACATGGAGCATCTCATGAGCGGTCTGCGTCCTGCTTGAATATCTATCATATCTATCTATCTATCTCCCCCCCCCTCTCTCTCTCTCTCTCTCTCTCTCTCTCTCTCGCTCTCTCTTTCTCTCTGTCTCTCTCTCTCTCCTCTCGCTCTCTTCTCCCCCTTTCTCTCACTCTCTCTCTCTCTTCTCCCTCTCTCTCTCTCTCTCTCTCTCTCGTCTCTTTTCTTTCTCCTCTCTACCTGCTCTCTGCTCTCTCTCTCTCCCTCTTCTCTCTCTGTCTCCTCGCCCTGTCTCTCTACTGTCTCTCTCCTCTCTTCTCTCTCTCTCTCTGTCTCTCTCTCTCTCTCATCTCTCACGTCTCTCTCTGTTCTCTCTGTCTCTCTCTCTCTCTCTCTCGCGCCTACCGGGGATGTCTCTGTCTCTCTCTCTCTGCTCTTCTTCTTTTCTCTGTCTCTCTCTCTCTCTCTCTCTCTCTCTCTCTCTCTCTCTCTCTCTCTCTCTCGTCTCTCTCTCTCTCTCTCTACTGTATATATATATATATATAGTATATATATATATATATATATAATCATACACAACACATATATATTATAATATCTTCTATCTATCTATCTGTTCCCCCCTCGCTCTTCGCTCTCGTCTCTCTTTATATATATATATATTATATATATATATATATATATCTACACACACACATATATATATTATAAATCGATCCATCTATCTTTTCTCCCCCCTCTACGCTCTCTCTCTCTCTCTATATATATCTATATATATCTACACACACACACATTATATATAATTTCTATCCATCTATCTGTCCCCCCTCTCTCTCTCTCTCTTTATATATATATATTATATATATATAGTAATTATATATCTACACACACAACCAATATATATATAATATCTATCCATCTATCTTGCTCTCCCCCCCCCCTCTCGCTCTTCTCTCTCTCTCTCTCTCCTTATATATAATAATATTATCTACAACACATTATATATATAATATCTATCTATCTATCTGTCTCCCCCCCTCTCTCTCTCTTTCTAAATATATATAGTACTATATATATA